GTAGCAAATACCTTTGGATGCTTTGATTTGTGTGTTATTGTGCAAGATTTAGGCTTAAAACATCAAAATATAAGACACAACTAATTTTACAAGGAAGCCAAAGAAAATGTGAAGTTTAGCATGTTCGCTAGGTGAACAACTAGCAAGGACCAACATCGAATGTTCGCTGGACAAGCTCCTGGGAAAGCCCTAACGAACCCTCTTAAATAAGAGGCAGAAAGAAAGGACTACAAGTTTACTGGGCGAACTTGAAGCGAATATTCGCTAGGCGAGGTTACAGCTAAGGACCATCGAATCATCCCAGTTTGAGACAGTGACTAAAGGACCCTAAGTCCGCTGTGCGAACTTGTAGCAAAGTAGCTCGCAGGGCGAAGTATAGTTCACTTGGCGAACTCAAATATTTCCTCAAGGGCGGTTTAACCGTTTAGAGGCACTTCAAGTGCCATAAAGTAGAGTTCGCGGGATGAAGAATGGGTTCGCTAGGCGAACTTGGCAGATTATAGTTGTACTATATAAGTATTTTTCACACTTTTTTGAGGATAATAACCTATTTTTCACATAGAACCCTCATTTTTCAGCATATCTTCACCAAAGAGTGATATTTTTCAAATAGAAGCTGGATTCACATACGAGTTCGATTCTTCGATGTGGATGCTCATTCATCTTCTCTCTTTACTTGTAAAGCAAGATACCATGGTTACGGGTAGCTAATTTCTCTTGTATCAAAGATAGAGACAGTCTACCTTAGCTTGATGTATTTCTTTTGATTGGGCTTGTATGAGAACAAGTGATGAATATTTTTGTTCTTAATGATCCATTATTGTTTTGTAAAACTCTAGACATAGATTTTATGTAACTTTACCTAAAATATGCATCTATCGATTTATGGATTGGAGAGGTCGGTCTATGGTTGAGTTTGCTTTGTATTAAACTTAAAGCTTTCTATATTGGCTATTATATGGAGATATCGGTAGCGATGAATACAGTATTTCTCACGACGTCGCTCTAGAGATGGACGGTGTTGATAGAATACGCGATGATATTAATTAGATCCGACTTCACATACAAGATTGAAAGAATACGTATAAGTTAATGTAGATGAAAACTACTTTTGATATACTTTGTTAATTAAACACTTTAGAATTTACCAGCTTTGCTACTAAAAATTGTGACAATTTATGAACCAAATTTGAAACTCTTTTTCTTAGAACTGTAAACTATTGAAAGGCAAGCATCAAGATATCGAACAATTCCTGTGGAGACGATAACAAAACCCCCTATAACACTACAATTCGAACATATTGTACCATTTATCTTCCATTTTCACAAACTGTTATGCAAGGATACAACTGTATTTTGGTATTCTAATTCTACCCTCCAACGGATCTCTTCATATCCTATATAAAGATGACTTGGAAGAATCGAAAAGCATGAACTCTTACTACTCTACTATCATACGTAAACAATGTTATTTATGAATATTCTTGAGATGAAAGAAAAAATCACAAGATAATTTTGTTCATACTATTCATTGTAAATCTTTTGTGTGATACTTGTATTTCATTTGTGTACTCTACTTTCTTAGAAGCATTTTATAGACACACCTTGTATCAATCTGTTTGATTGTATTTTGTTCCTTGAGTGACTAGGATTTAGTCTGTATACTCAAGAAGACATTGATTGTTGGTCTTTATGTTGTAATCAAGTTTGATTATAGTGGATTAAGCCCTTGTTGATAAGGCCAAATAACCTTGGCGGATGGACTGGAGGTAACTTGTGTTGTAGAGAACCAATATTAAAATAACTATTTCATTATTTTATATCCTTGTTTGTTATTTGTTGTTTTTGGTTAAATATCTTTCAGTTTTAGAAACCCAATTCACCCCTTTCTTGTGTTTCCTTTCACCTTTAGTAAATGCATCATGTTTATTGTTTGATTTCCTTTCGTTGTCATGAGTGTTTTTTGCCACTTTTGTTCGATTTTAGGCGTTTTGTCTTCTTTTTATGTTTCAAGTAATAAGTAGGTAATGGACCGAATCAGAGCAAAAAAGGCCAAAGATCTCACAAAAAGAGGCTCTTCCCGTACAAAATTTTTGTGACCAACACAGCCTAACCGTGTCTCATGACACATGCCGTGTTAGCCCTTGGAGCCATTTCCATAGAAGCAAGACGAGGTTGACACAGTCTGACCGTATCCCCTGACACAGGTCGTGTCAGCACCTCATGCAATTATGAATTCTTTGCTTTTTATATGTTTTTTTTTTAACTTTTAGGTTTCCATGAACCTCCCTAGGCTTTATGTTATTGAGTTATGATGACTAAACTCGTGATTATTGTCAATTAGTGGTGATTTATGACACAGTTTACTATAAATAGAGGCTTAGACTTGAAGCAAAGACATCACTTAGTACCTATCATCCATCACTTATTACTTTTCATTAGTTGTTTGCTCTCAACTTTGTAATTTTCCATGATTTTGGTTCTTACTTTCCTTGTTCAAGTAATCTTGATATATTTCTTACTTTATTTAATGTAATTAAGTCATTTCATTTCAGCTTATTTCAAGTTTACATTATGCTTTTCATGTCTTTACTTTGTTTATCTTTTATCCACCTCACCATGAGTGAGTAGATCCATAGAGACATGAGATCATGAGAGCCTATCTCATGACAATCCCGATTGAATCATCCAATGTTAATTGCGAGAAATCTAAATTTGATTTATTTTAGAATTTGAATTCTTGATCACATTTACGTCAGTTGCGAAAGCAAAAGCAATATAGATGTCGATCATGTATCGAAAGATAATGATTTGATATCCGAAAGCGAATTACTAAATGATTTAGTTCGTGGCACCATTGACACAGCAACTTGATCTTAATTGAAAAATAATTAAGATGTTATGTCGCGTGACAAGACATAACACTCTGATTAAATTGCTTAGTTGTGCTTAAAACACATCTAGATGTGCACACCATAAAAGTGAGCGTCACACACATTTATATAAATTTCTATAAAAATATCTTACAGATTCTCGTAATTCGAACATGAATTAGATGATCATAACTCCTAATCCTACTTTTAATTATTATTATTATTTTTTTTTTAATTTGCACTGAACCAATCCAAATCTCGATCGCTTCATCTAAATATAGTTAGAATAAAAATTCGATAATAATACATCTTTATGTGAATTTGATATTTTTTTAACTACAATTGACACAACCGCACATGCGATTCACACACGTCAATAACATGGTAATTAATTTTGTTTCCAGCCATTCTAGGGAGGAGTGGATTGTTTGTGGTGAGTTTTAACATGTTAATACTCAAAGTGAAAAGATGGAAGGATACCCTATTGGTAATAATATCACTAACCTATTTTGCAATACTATAAAAAAACTGTCAGATTAATGATATTGGTTTTGAAGGAAAAAGATTCACGGGGGACAACAATCAGCTTGCCTACAATCACATTCAAACCACTATTATCTATTCTCTTATGCATATTTATTATCCTCTCAAAAATGCACTATTATAAATCACAGACACAATGCAACAAATTACAAAAAGTTATCAACACAAATGTTCAAAGAAGAAATACTCTAAAACAAAATAAAGAAAATTTTAGAGGCAAGATAGAGAAAAAAAAAAAGAAGAAGAAAACACACTCAAATTAAATTATGAATAAAAATTTGAAACTAAATGACTAAGGGTATGTTTAATTTAATTTTGTAAAACTATTTTTTAGTTTTAAAATTTAAAAATTATAAAATTTGTTTAGTAGTCTAGTTTTACAAAACTATTTTCTGTTTGAGAGTTTAAAAACAAAAAAAAAAAACAAAATAGATTTTGGTTTTTAGTATTTAAAATTAAGAAGAGTAGAAAAATAAGAAAAAATGTATATTTTCATTAATGACAAAATTGTAATATTATTCAACTTTAAAATAATTTTCAAAATTAAATTACTAAACATTTTTTTTTCTTTTTTTCAAAACTCTTTTTTAACATTGATTTACAAAATAATTTTTAAAAAATAAAAACTAAAACTCATTCAAACCAAAACCAAACTTGAAATATGTGAAAAATAATTTAAATATATGAAACAGAATGATCTATCAAATTTAAATATGTGAAAAATCAATTACTAAAATCAAACGTGAAATGTATAATCAATGCAAAAAAGAATGATCTATCAAATTTAGCAATTCTGATTAATTTGTGTGTATAATGTCTTTATTCTTAAGTGTTATGGTGCGTAATCACTTTTTTTTACAACACCTCAAATTTTCTATATATTGATGGATTTCTCTCATTTTTCAAATCAATTATCCTTTTTAATTATCAAAATTGGACACGTATGAAAAAAAACACCAAAACCAAGTTTCCAATTGAAACTTTGAAACTAACAATTGCAAGTTAAATAGATGGACTGATTTTTTTTCCTAACAAAATTTAAATACCATTAAACCTTACTTCATCATCATGCATTATTGCACCATGCATATCAAAACTACCATCAATACAAATATGACATAAGAAAAAAACTAACGATTGACTATCTTGATGGTACCTTTGTAATTATAAACATAAGATTTAGAAAAATAAATGAAGAAAGTAAATCCCACCACACTTAATCCAGAAAGTAGCCAGTAAAAATAATCAAGATGTGCCTTATTGATATTATCACAAAACCAACTTTCATCACCATTTTTGCTACTAAGATTTTCAATCATAGAAATGAGAAAGCTACTAAGAAAGCTTCCAACACCAACAATACTCAAGTAGAGTGCGAGTCCCATGCTTCTTAGTTCATTTGGACTTGATCATAGAAAAATTCTTGAAGACCAACCATAGTAAAAACCTCTGAAATTCCAAACAAAAAGTATTGAGGAATCAACCACCATATACTCATTGGAACAATTGCATTTGGATCATCAACAAGACCATACTCTTGTGCTATTTTTAGTCTTTTAATCTCAACAAATGCCGCAAATACCACTATGAATATGGATATAAAAATTCCAGTTCCGATTCTTTGAAGCATTGTGATGCCTGATGGTTTTCGGTGATAGCTCGTGCTATTGGAACAAATATGCGGTCGTAGATAGGACTGAAGAGAACAACGGCGAGACTGTTAATCGTTTGAAGTGAAGCTGGGGGTATGTCGAAACCGGGAAATATTGTTCTCTCCATAGATTTTCCTTGCTTGGTGAAGAATGTAAAAACTTGAGCAAAGACAATACCGTAAACTAAAGATGTAGCCCAAATTGGAACCAACCTTAGTATTGCCTTTGCTTCTTCAACCTCGCTAATGCTACAATTGTTTTCTTGTTTAGATCCCTTTGGTGTTAACAATGCCTTGTTGAGGAAGCTGCCAATGTAGAAAATACAAGCTAAGTCAAAAAAGGCATATAGATTAGCATACCATGGATAACAATTTTTCACTAATTGCACTATGCCTGTAATGGATCACAGAGAGGCTTCTAGGCACAACCAAGAATGCTAGAAGTTCTATTGACCTTAGCAGAAGTCATACCTCCAGCATAGAAAGTTCACTTACTAGGACTGATAAGCTAACAAAAAATAGTACCATATTTGTCAAATAAGCACTTAATGGAGGTAAGGCTTCTTTGAGTAACTTCGAAAATAATCATTTGCATATAAGACATGTAATGGAGGTTGGGCACAATCTTAACCAGCCTATCCACAAGGATCTTGGTAAATGCCTTGAATCTGATGTTTTCGGCTAACTTTATCTACTTATGAACATTATTATAGTTCATTCCGTGTAAAATCACATAAGTTTTGACAAAATGCAAGGTGGCTAGGAAAAGGTCTTGGCCAACCATCTATCAATATTGTTAAAAGAAAGAAAAAGCACCAAATCTATCAGGACCTGGTACACCATCCTCGTTCGTTGCAAAAACAGGATCATGGTCTTCATCGATAGAATGTCAAGAAATAAGAACATCTCCTCAATCAAGCCATTGTCTAAGCAGACTCGGTAAGGGGTTGGTCATCGTTTCTACAGACACTGATCGGCTTTGTAGAGTTTCTGATTATATCCATTTTGTGGAAATACGTTGTGATTCTCTCACTGTCATCATGCCATTTGATTCTAGACTTTTCTCTCCAAAATCTATTTAGAGCTTATAAAGAGTGACAACATTCACCTTACAAGTCAATTTTGTAAGGATGAATTTGATCGATATATAGACTTAATATGCATCAACAACAATAGTTTAAGTTCAATGCTACAATTTATTACTACAATGTACCACATATGAATATAATGCACTTCAGAAAACTCAAAAATGATCATTATAATAACTAAAAATATGAAAACATGGATGAACTATAGCACATTTATATGCTTTAGGAATGCTACTAACAAGAATGGAAATTTTTAGACATGAAATTTTTAGACAGGCAGAAATTAGCATAGTATTTCTTACTTGAATTGATCAGAACTTTGATGGTGAAGCATTCCTTCACATTCCTCTTCAATATATGTGTTTGGTAAGGTGTCTCGCCAATTTCTTATAGCTGCGAGAAATACACGACAGATTCTAAGAAAAGGACTCTTGCCATTATCCTTAATGTTAAACCTATATGTCATTGTTCCAAGCAAGAAAACAAGCAAACCAACTATCATTACGACACAAGGGATTCCAAATCCAAGAACCCAACTATAGTTATCTTGTATATAATTCAAGATTGCGAGTGTTGCTGCGCAACCTGCAACCATTGTAAAAAACCACCAATTAAAGAACGAGCTTCTAGCTTTGTGTTCTTTCGGATGTTTTTCATCGAACTGATCCGCACCGAAAGCTTGAACACAGGGTTTATGTCCACCTTGTCCAATGGCAACAAGATAAAGTGAGATGAAGAATAAGATAACTTGTGAATGTTGGGAGCATAATATGAATTTAGTATCAACTTGGCATTTAGATTTGGTGAGGGAAGTAAGCTTAGCTGATAATGCTAACAAGCCAAGTCCCTGTAATTTATATTAAGCCAGTGACCAACATCAAAACAATGAGCCAAACCAGTAGAGTTATCATATATTTATTATATGAAAAACATCGCCCTTATAACCTGTTGAATATTAGCACAAAATCAAAACAGATTCTGTCATACAGCTCATTATGGCTGGATTCAATTGTGATTAAATAGAAATTAATTGTATTATTATATTCTTACCTTATTTAAGATTAGCATTTATAGGGAGAATAATTACCCCTATTTCTTAGTGTAATTTATATTCTATAAATACTCATGTACTATGTTACAGAATAATAATAATATAGAAAAAGCATATTTCTATATGGTATCAGTAGCAACAAGAATCCTTTAGGGTTTTTTTTGTTTTTGCTTCCGCTCTGTTTATCTCTTTTACATCCCACAATGTCTGATACCGAGTCCTCACTTTCACCCAAACATTCCTCACCCGAACCTAAATTAGTCCGAACGTACCATGAAAACCACCCTGTTCAGATCACAACAATTCGGCTGAACGGTGCTAATTATCTTCGATGGTCGCAATTCGTTCGTATGTATCTCAGGGGGAGAGGAAAGATTGGCTACATTACTGGCGACAAAAAACAACCAGACAAGGCAGGTGCAGATTATGATACATGGGATGCTGAAAACTCCATGGTCATGACATGGTTAGTCAACTCCATGGAGGTGCAAATTATCTATGTTATGATACTGCAAAAGAACTTTGGGAAGGTGTCTCCCAAATGTACTCTGATTTGGAAAATCAATCCCAAATCTACGAATTAACTCTCAAATTGGGAGAAATTCGGCAAGGTGAAGATTCAGTCACCAAATACTTCAATTGTCTCAAACGTATTTGGCAAGATTTGGACCTTTTCAATGAGTATGAGTGGAAATCACCTGCCGATAGCAAACATTACAAGAAGATGGTGGATGTTAGTCGTGTTTTCAAGTTCCTTGCGGGTCTAAATGTTGATTTTGATGAGGTTCGTGGCCGAATTCTAGGCAGAAATCCTATCCCTCCAATTGGTGAAGTCTTTTCAGAAGTACGTCGCGAAGAGAGTCGTCGGCAAGTGATGCTTGGCAAAAATACAGCAGCTGTCCCTCCACCAGTTGAAGGATCTGCCTTGGCAATTCCCCATGTCAATCGTAAACCACTTCATAATCAACGAGGTGGAGACAAGACTCATTTATTTTGCGATTACTGTGGGCGCAATCGCCACACTCGGGAAACTTGCTACAAACTACATGGGCGACCAAATCATGGCAAGGCTGGTAAGTTTGGTGATCGTCCTATGCCTATGGCCAATGAGGCTGATTCGTCTCCATGTACGAAGGAGCAAATGGATAACCTTCTTAAGTTTCTAAAGTCCAATTCATCTCTTAATATCCCTACTGGAACTGTGGCACAAACAGGTAAGGATTCTTGGGCACTATCTGCTCACAACCACTCTAACCCTTGGATAATAGATTCAGGGGCATCTGAACACATGACTAATTGCTCTCATCTATTCAGTACCTATTTTCCTAGTTCAGGTTTTGAAAAAGTTAGGATAGCTGATGGTAGTTATTCAAGTATTGCAGGCAAAGGCAGCATAAAAATTTCAGAGCAAATCACTTTGCAATCTGTTTTACATGTTCCTAAATTCGCTTGTAATCTTCTATCTGTTCATAAATTGTCTAAGGACACTAATTGTTCTGTTCTTTTTCGTCCCTCTACTTGTGTTTTTCAGGACCAGAACTCGGGGAAGACGATTGGAACTGCTAGAGAGATGAATGGATTGTACTACCTTGATGGAATTCAGTTTGGCAATAAAGCGTTTTTCGGTTCAAACAGTACAAACGCATCTCCTGTTTCAGATCAAATTATGTTATGGCATAAAAGATTAGGTCACCCTAGTTTTTCATATCTTAAGCATTTGTTTCCTATTTTTTCCAAAGAAATAAATTCCTCACAATTTCATTGTGAAGCTTGTCACTTAGCTAAAGATCATCGTGTGTCTTTTAAATCAAAAGCCTATTCTGCTTCTAAACCTTTTTATTTAATTCACAGTGATGTTTGGGGTCCTTCAAAAATTAAAACTATGTCTGGAAAAAAATGGTTTGTAATATTTATTGATGATCATACACGGCTGTGTTGGGTTTATCTCATGGAGAAAAAATCAGAAGTTGAACAAAGATTTCAAGATTTTTTTAACATGATTAACAATCAATTTCAAACTAAGATTGGCATTCTAAGGTCTGACAATGGCACTGAATATTTCAACAAATATTTAAGTACATTCCTTGTAACTAAGGGGATAATTCATCAATCCACTTGTCGCGATATTCCGCAGCAAAATGGTATTGCTGAAAGAAAAAATAGACATCTCCTCGAAGTCACTAGAGCTATTATGTTTTCTATGAATGTACCTAAGTATCTTTGGGGAAATGCTTTATTAACTGCTTGTTACCTCATCAATCGAATGTCATCTCGGGTGTTACAATATGAAAGTCCTGTACAAGTGTTACAAAACAATTTTCCTACATCTCGTATTATTACGGATCTTCCCCTTAAAATTTTTGGTTGTCTTTGTTATGTTTACATCCCCAATATTTTTCGTTCTAAGTTGGATCCTAAAGCCGAAAAATGTGTTTTTCTTGGCTATGCTTCCAATAAAAAGGGATACAAATGTTTTAACCCAGTTACAAAGAAATTTTTTGAAAGCATGGATGTTCACTTTGTTGAAAATCAACCTTTTTTTAAAAATTCTCTTCAGGGGGAGAGTCAATGTAATAATAAAGAAGATAATTTTTAGGAAACTTTGCCTGCTCTAGATGATATTGTGACTACAAATCACCCAAATGCTAAGATAATAGAATCTGAAACAGGGGGAGAAACACTGATTAAGGATGATAATCCTGAACTTAAAGTGTATGTTCGAAAAAAATTCCACAAAGGTGGTGCAAACCCTATTGTCTCTCCAGTAGAAATCCAATCTGATTTACCAAGTGAAGGTCCTACAGATAATCTGTCTTCTAGTTCTTCATCTGGTAATCCTTCTTACTCATCCAATGATTTATCTGATTTGTCTTTTCCTGATATTAATCTTCCAATTTCTGTGAGAAAAAATATTCCTGACCTCGATGTCCCAATTGCTGAGAGGAAAGGTTCTCGTATGTGCACTAAACATCCTATGTCTAATTACTTGTCATATGACAAACTATCACACACCCATAAGGCATATGTGTCTAGGATTTCTAATTTGTTTGTGCCCAGAACTATTCAGGAAGCATTAAGTGATCCGAATTGGAAATTAGCAGTGAAAGAAGAGATGGATGCTCTAAACAAAAATAACACTTGGAGTATCACTGATCTACCACAAGATAAAAAGGCAGTAGGGTGTAAGTGGGTCTTTACAGTGAAATGCAAGGCTGATGGAAGTGTGGAAAGATACAAAGCGAGATTAGTAGCAAAAGGATTTACTCAAACTCATGGTATTGATTACCAAGAGACTTTTGCCCCAATTGCTAAGATCAATTCTATCAGAATTCTTCTTTCTCTTGCAGTAAATTTCAACTGGACACTATATCAATATGATGTTAAAAATGCCTTCTTGAATGGTGAATTACATGAAGAAGTATATATGAGTTTACCTCCTGGATTTGAAAAAAATCTTGGAAGAAACAAAGTATGCAGATTGAGAAAATCCCTATATGGATTGAAACAATCGCCAAGGGTCTGGTTTGAGAGATTTGGAAGTGTTGTTAAGAGACAACGGTTTCACCCAAAGTCAAGCAGATCACACTATGTTCTTTAAACACTCATCTGAAGGTAAGATTGCTATCTTAATAGTGTATGTTGATGACATTATTATTACAGGAGATGACGTCAAAGCAATTAGTGATCTGAAGAGAAGACTTGAGGCTGAGTTCGATATCAAGGATCTTGGAAAGTTAAAATACTTTCTTGGGATGGAGTTCGCAAGATCTAAAGAAGGTATTTTTCTCAACCAGCGCAAGTACATACTCGATTTACTTGCAGAAACAGGGATGACAGGGTCTAAAGCAGTAGAAACACCAATGGATCCCAATGTGAAACTAAAATCAGTTGCTAAAGATGAAATAATAGATAAAGAACGTTATCAACGATTGGCTGGAAGACTAATTTATTTGTCACATACAAGGCCAGATATAGCCTTTGCAGTGAGTGTAATAAGCCAATTTATGCATGCACCAGGTGCAGCCCACTTTGAAGCTATTTTCAGAATATTAAGATATTTGAAAGGTACTCCGGGAAAGGGGCTGATATTCAGAAATAGAGGACATATACAGGTTGAAGCCTATACAGATGCTGATTGGGCAGGTAATATAAATGATAGAAGGTCTACCTCAGGATATTGTACTTTTGTAGGTGGAAATCTAGTTACATGGAGGAGCAAAAAACAAAATGTTGTAGCCAGGAGCAGTGCAGAAGCTGAATTCCGATCTGTGGCCCATGGTTTTTGTGAAGTATTATGGATCAAAAAGTTCATGGAAGAATTGAAGTTCTTTGGCCCAACTCCAATTAAAGTTTACTGCGATAATAAGGCTGCTATTTCTATTGCCCATAATCCTGTCCTACATGACAGGACGAAGCATGTTGAAGTGGACAAGCATTTCATCAAAGAAAAAATTGACAGCGGTGAGATTTGTATGTCCTACATACCTACCAAAAGTCAAGTAGCAGATGTTCTCACAAAGAGTCTTCCAAAGAGACTGTTTGATAACATGGTGTGCAAGCTTGCTATGAACGATATATTCATGCCAGCTTGAGGGGGAGTGTTGAATATTAGCACAAAATCAAAACAGATTCTGTCATACAGCTCATTATGGTTGGATTCAAATTGTGATTAAATAGAAATTAATTGTATTATTATATTCTTACCTTATTTAGGATTAGCATTTATAGGGAGAATAATTACCCCTATTTCTTAGTGTAATTTATATTCTATAAATACTCATGTACTATGTTACAGAATAATAATAATAAAGAAAAAACATATTTCTATATAACCTATGAAACTCAGACTCCGACACAGACGCTTATATTTACACGACTGAGAGACTTAAGTGAAGAATAGAACTAACCAAGATATAGATGAGAGAAGCGATTATGATTGTGCGGTATCGTCCAAGAAAAGAGTCAGCGACGAAAGCACCTAAGAGAGGAAGAAGAGAAGCTGTTCCAGCCCAGATATTCACATTTTTAGCAGCTGAAGCAGTGGTCTGTTTGAGTGGTCCTGTTAGATATGATATCAAATTCCCTTGAATTCCATAAAATGACATTCTTTCTGATACTTCCACACCTATAAACATAACATTTACAAACTCAAAAAACAAAACAAGTAGATGAATTTGTTTGTTATAGTAAGAAAATGAAATACCTATGATGAACCAAGCGGATCTCCAATAACCAGATTTGGATCTAACGGCTGGCTGTCCTCTGTAGTCAACAGCATCATCTACAAGATCAGTTAATTCAGATTCTAACGAAACCTCGTTAGAGTTCTCCATCAAACCAATACTGCTTTGATTCTTCAATCACGTTGTGACTCGTAACGAAGGATGTTTAATAAAGAACAATGAGTGTGCGAATTTGAAACACATTAAATAATAAACATAGCACATTTTTAATATATATATATATATATATATATATATATATATATATATATATATATATATATATATATATATATATATATATATATATATATATATATATATATATATATATATATATATATATAACGCTATAAACGAGCATGCATTAAACAATTTGAAGTCAATGCTCAAGTACCATCTCAATTTATTATAGGAATATGCTTAAGATCAAACTAGCACCGTAAAATATAAAGTGTTTGGTGGAGCTATTCTAAGTTCAGACTGAAACAAGTTGCACGACGTTTTGGTTTTAACATAAGTTATGTAAACTTTGATTACTTGGTAGTTCAAATATTTAAGGGTAAATGAAGACTGTCAGAACCAAATTAATTACATGGAAGTACATTTTTGTTTATGATGGAAATGGTTGAAATATGTCTTAAAATTTTAAGTGGGGAAGAGAATACAAATTTATTTTGAAATTGTAGAAATCAGATAGTAGAAGAAAAAGCAATCAAGAGGTTCGCAGAAGGATAGCAGGGAAGCTAAAGCGGTGACGCACAAAAGGCCGGTAAGGGAGCCGGTGCGGTGGCACGGGAGAGGCCAATGGCAGAACTGGAGTGGGAGATGGCCGTCGGTGGAGTTGGCACAATCACAGGAGGATAGTGGGTTTGGTGGACTTTACGGTTGAAGACAAAGAGAAGAGGTTGAAATTCTAGTAAGGGCAAAGAGGCAATGGTTGAGGAAATTTTTTTTTGAGGTATTTAAGGGGATCGGAAAACATTTCTAAAGATTTTGGACTTGTGTAATTCATAAATAGGACTTGCTTTTGGGAACTTAGGTGACTATTTTCTTATAACTCCTTTGTAATGTTTTGTAACAACTTTTGAAAATATAGTGAATTAGAGAGTTGTTCTATCTCCTATAGTAGATCATTTGATTGAACTGACTAAACAAATTTTTGTGCTTCTTGTCTTTTATCTTCTTTTGCCAAGTTAAGTTTGTATTATATTGCAAAGAGAGTTATTTTGTGGAAGGCCGTTTATTTCAGTTGTTATTGTTTTTTGTCCCCAAACATCAAATATCTTGGCATTATTGAACCTTTCAATTTCACAACAAGTGGTGTCAACGGTGGAGTAAAGGGATTTTGTTTACAAGTGAATATCATGGGTTCTAAATGGAAAATCGAGAAATTTTTTTAGAGATAATGATTTTTTATTATGGAAAATTAATATGCAAAATTTTTTAACTCTAGAGAGGTGTATTGAAGCATTGAAGGGTGACACATTGATGCCTGCATGCCTAACACAAGTAGAGAAGACCGAGATGCTGGATAAGGCCAAAAGCGTCAGTATCTCGTGCTTCGGAGATAAAGCTCTAAGGAATGCCGCCAGGGAGAAGTCGTAGTGGGAAAAACTTAAATCATTGTTTATATGGAGAATACATCCATAGTGGAGAAATTGACAATTTCACAAGATCATTAATTATATGGAGAATATTAAGGTGAAGATTGATGATAAAGAGAAGGTTTTACTATTGTTGAGCTCATTACCCGTGTGCTTTGAACAGTTCAAAGATATCCTTATTCTATGTAAGTAATATACTTTTATTTGGATGAAAGCAACTAACTTATAAATCATCATGGAAGTCCTTCAGTAAGTAGCGTTAACTTATAAATTATTATGAAAGCATGTAAATTCTAATGTCTTATAAAAATCTAATTTTTCAAGTATTTACCTTGAGGACAGAGAAAGGTTTAAGTTTGGGATTGTAATGATAGTTTTTCATATGTTTTTAGTAGTTTAGTTTTAAGTAACTTTACTACTAATGGATTTTTATTTTGTAGGTTTTTAAATGAAGATTCTAAAAATTCATGGAAAGGCCAAACCAAGTCGAAATCATCCTTACTATGCGAATTCCATTGTATTTTATTATGAAAGTTACTATAAAAATCAAAGAAAGGAGTAGCCTACAAAGAATCGAAGGAAAACAAGAAAGAATTGCAAAAGAGAGTCAGCTGAGGAACGCTCGTTCCTTTTAGTGGTGCTAGACAACTTCAAAGAGCCATCGCGGTGCAATAAACATCAAGGCGACGTGATCTAAACATTCTGTCAGAATTACAAAAAAAAACAATCATTTAATCTCGTTTCCTTTGTTCTATATTTTGATCATATATGAATTTTTGTAATTCTAATCGAGGTGAAAGTGGCAACAAAAGATATCTAACTTCCAATTCTAAACTTACATAAAAATTACTTTAAAATTAAAAAAATTGAAGCTAAGCTTTTAATATAAGGGATGACTATTATTGGAATTTGTATTATTCCCCACTACCCTTTCATCTCTTGTATTATAATGTATTAGTATGTTCTTCATTATGACTTGCTAATATCATCATATCTCCATTCTCGAACAATGGCAACAAATGATCAGTAATTGGAAAAGGATGTTATTGTAAAAGTATATAAGGTTAAACCGTGCGCACACACATACAAAACCATTTTCAAATTGCTTTACTAAAAGAAAATATTTTGAAAAACATATGGAAGTTGTGTCAAATGAATTGGAAGCATTCAAAACAGCTACAATTTTTTTTTACTTAAGTAATAGATTAAAACATTTGTCTAATCAATTAGAAATGTGGAAACTTAAGGCTCAAGCTATTTTGAAGGCTCCTTGATTTTGCGCAACATCTATATATCCTAAACTTACTTTTTTAGAACTTGCAAACGATTATTTTCATCTTCTAATCAATTAGGAAAAGGTGATAATTGATTAGATTATCACAAAATTATTTTATTGAGATTTCCTTTTTGAGTCAATCTCGGGCCTATAAATAGAGGTGTGATTTTTCATTTGATATAATTCAGAATTGTGTTTTGACATTTTCATCTCTCTCTCTCTCTCTCTCTCTCTCTCTCTCTCTCTCTCTCTCTCTCTCTCTCTCTCTCTCTCTCTCTCTCTCTCTCTCTCTCTCTAAAAACATTTCTTTAACTTTCTCTCACTATATTTTTAGCCTAAGTGATTTTCTAAGAAAAGTCCTTTTGTGAGTGAGATTAGTTTTGTAATTATGGAATGGGTAGAATTGTAAAACTCACCAAGGAAACCTTTTGTGTATACATTGGTTGAACATTTTCCAATTAGGGATTTGTTTGTATTAAAGCTAAACCCATAAAAATATTATGTTTGAGATTAGGTATTTCAGTCTTAGTTTAGGTTGGAGATCAACCTATATAAAATCTTCTAGGTTATCGGCCAATCAGGTGTTAAAACCAAGAAAGGTTAAAGCTCAGCCCAGTATTAAAAGCTTCATAGGTTGGAGATTAGCCTCGTGTTAAAATATCTCATATTTTTGGTTATCCCATATAAAAACAAGGTATTGAGCTCAAAGATTTTGGATCTTGAAGACTAATTGCTCAAAGGTCCTTGTTTGCAGAAACAAGACTAACCGCTTCAATCCACTGTTTGGAAAGGAAGATTAGCCCTTTCAATCTCAAGCTTATTCCTTGTATAATGGGGTTCATGAGTCTTTCCTGCTAAAATCTCTCAAAGCATTATTGAAAACTCTCAAGATTAATTTTTGGGGAGAGAAATATGTCCTTTTGTTTTGACCAAACCACTATAATTCTTGGTGTCTTACTTTTCCCTTAAGCTCTTTTAATTTCCACAATCTGTTTTCTGCTTTTTTTTTTCGCTGCTAAGTTTTTCAAAATGCTTTTCTACTTTAATTTAATTTCACAAAAGTCTTTAAAAACAAGTTCTTCTAATTCACCCTCATCTTGTGTGTGAAGTCTCAAGTCCTAATATCTTCTAGGAAATTTACATCTTCTCTGATCGCCTCAACACTATCATTTTATGATAAAGGGGTGTATCATCCTCTAGATTTTCTCTTCTACTTAGATAGGGATGACGACTTCAGTCTCGTAGGTAAGTCGAAAGGATGTCTAATCGGTCATCGAATGAGATGTAGTTCAATATGCCCATAGGAAATATGGAAGCTCATGCAACCAATTTTTCTTTGCCGCTTCAAGTAGTCACTTTAACCATCTCAAAATTACTTGATTCATTGCTTCGGCTTGTCTATTGTTCTGGGGGTGTTGTACCAATGTGAAATTTTGCTTGACCTTCAAGTTTTACAAAAGCTTATTGAATTTATTATTTATGAATGTTGTTTGGTTATCTATCACAATTTCTATGAATGCTTCTACTTCAATCCACTTGATAAAATAATAAACTTCTATGATATAAAATTTAAGTTGTCCCGACACCAAAGGGAAAAGGCTGAGAATATCCATTCCCTATTGTGATAAATTTCAAGGTGATGTCAATATGTGTAACTTAGAAAGAAGGGGGAGCATTATAAATGTCTTTGTGTTGTTGAAATTAATAAGATATACTCACATACTCCTTATCATTTTGAACCCTGGGTGACCAATAATACCCAACTCTAAGGACTTTCTTGGCAAGATCTCGAGCACCTAAATGTTGTCCAACTATTCCTTCATGCACTTCAACGATAACATATGCGATGTCTTCTCATTCTAGGCACTTTAACAAGGAGGTTGACAATCCCTTTGGTTTAAGGTTACTTATATCAAAGAGTACATACTAGCTCTTCTCTTCACAAGGGTGACGTCAATAGATAACACGCCTTGCTTGATGTATGTCACAATGGTTGATATCCAAAATGGTTGTGCATTGTCACTTATTGCCATCATCACAACTCTTGGTTTTCTATATTGGGGCTTCTCAGAGTTTCTTGGATGAAAGCATGGTTTACCCCGAATGATCTGGTACTATCTTTCTTAGACATGACCTCAACTTGAGTGTTATGATCTCTTGGAACATGCAATATCACTGAACTTTTGAATTTTCAAACTTTTCCCTGGCCAAAGTGGCATATCTTGTAG